CAAAGTGATGGCCATCATAATTGTAACTGATAAGAATGGCATTCACTAGTTGTCAGCATTTTTATACCCAGTCTTGATTACATTTCATGTGGCTATAAATATCACATTTCTTTGCTTGCAGTACCATTTACCCTGTAGTTAACAATTGGAACTAGAATTTTTCTTTGCAAAACTATTTTCTGCATCCTTTGCAAAGTGTGTATAAAAATTTTGGTGTCAGTTAGCTTATTGGTTGGAGCTATAGAGTTCTTCTGAATAGGACAACTTTAATTACAATTACCCTATATTATTAATTTATTTAGAAATGACAGTTTGAATATACAGTAATACCTCGACTTAAGCAAACCCAGAGTTACGCGATTTTCAAATCTCGTCGATTTGTCTTTTGTTTGAGCGCCACGCAACTCTTGATTACTCACTCCCCCACACTATTGTTCAGCTTACATGTTCGGACATGTCGCGCGGAATTGACACATAGCTACAGTTTATTTTGTGTTATTTATTTCTGTGTTTGTTATATCTACGGAGACTTGAGAAACTCTATGTGGTGATTTCTTGTAACCGTGAACAAATTAAAAGATGAGATAAGATTAACGAGAACATTTATTAGCTTACATACATCCGACTTGAATTTTACACAAATTGCGAAATTATATCCCAACTTACACAAATTCGACTTACGTGGTTATTGCTCGGTCCCACTTATCACTTAAGTTTGGAGTATTACTGTATTTAAAAAGACTTATTTTAAGTATAAAAATATAAAAATTTAATTTAAATTACAGTAGTTTAATTTAATAATAAACATTAACATGAATCATTTCACTAATTACGCTTTAAATTTTTTAATTTCTAAATCAAAAACTGTTTCAGATTTTATTAGTTAGTCTTTGACTTGTACATAAATATTGTTGTTTTTGTTAACTATGAACTAATCATATCTTGCAAATACTTTCAGGTGTAATACGTCTTATCAATGGTCCTATCCATTTGGATAAAGATAAATATGAATTAAATGTTACAGCTAGAGATGATGGTAGTTGTTGTAAAAATGGTGCACATACCACCCACACAAGCACAGCACTTGTAGTTGTATTTATAACAGATGTTAATGATAATAAACCAGTTTTTGAAGAATGTGGAACATATGCACCACAAGTAGAAGAAGGTGCTCCCAGTGGTACTTCAGTAATTAAAGTGAGTAAAATTCTATTTCTTTGTACAATAAATGATATCATAAATTACAAATTAAAAAATATACAGTAATTTAGTTTTAAAACAAATAACTGCTACTTAATCAATTGATTTTTTTTATTTAAATGCTCATTGAACTCATGCTATAAATTATAAGTTAAAAAAAGTCACTTTTGAGATACAATTTAAAAATTTACATTTATTTCATTATTAATAAGTAATTTTATTGAAAATTATCTAAGATTTAATTAACTAAAATTAAATAAAAATTATCTAGAAAATTTTTAATCATTTAAAAATATTTTATATTCAGTGAAACAATTGAAAGATTTTTGGAAGTATTCAATTTATTGTAGAGCATCTCATTTGTTTATTATTACTAATTATAATTAGTTATTATTTAATATATTAAGTTATGGCTGGATGGCAGAGTGATTAAGGTGTCAGACTACAGCTCTGAGAAACCTGAGAACAAATCTGGACAGATCAAAAAACCCCAGGAATTTCTTGAGAGTTGACCCAATTAGGATATGTTGAGCTGGCTGTCCCATTGTGGGCCTGGCCAAACCATAATGGCTTGATTAAAAAGGATCTTTTGGTGTCCACAGGACAGAAAGAGTAAAAACAAACATATTGAATTTATAAAGCAGTAATAACAAATGCATCAGAAGAATCAATATGTATTAGTCACTTTTATAAGTTTCCTATGCAAGATTAAAATTTTTCTGGTATTGCATATTATTGCATACAATTCAATTAACCTGATACTCTTATAATCAATATAATTCTAAAACAAACTAAAGTAATGACAGTATATATATCTTCTCTAAGAGAACTCATTTTTCTTAAAAGTGAACAATAAAAACTACTTGTTTTCAACACCCATAATTTTGACTATCTATTGCCTTTAGTTGTATGTTTTATAGAAACTTCATTTATTGATATTTTCAGAGCTCTGGTTATTTATTACATTATATTTTATTCTTATTTTAGTTATTTATTAATTTTATTTTTTCCATGCTTATTAGTATGGAAAAAGTAAAAATATATATCATTCATATATATACATTCCCATCATGCTTTCTTTCTTGCCAATCTGGAAAGTTGTATGTTTATAATTGAGATCTTCAGTTAATGATTTCAGTCCATTTAATTTTGGGTTTTTTTTAATCTTTTCCTATCTTTACATACTTTGTTAATCTTAATAATTATATTGAGTTTGAAATGACCATATCATTGCAGTTATTTGTATAACAGATTTGATTGCTATAAATCAATTATATATAATAAAATATATAATGTAATCTGTGTATTTTTGCATTGCAGTTTTATTTAAGCATTTGATACTTCTTAAATTTTTAGTTGCACTCTTTGCTAATTTTCTGGATGAGTTACTATATTGCTTAATAATAACTAGTCAATGTTTTACACAAAAATATTTAAAATCTTCAATTAAACAGGTTTTTAAGTTTCTGAATAATGTGCATCTCATTGTATCAAAATATTTTTAATATTCTAAAATTTTTCTGTAGAATATTTAATTATATTTATTTTATAAATATTAACTATATGATCAAGTTAAATAAAATGCAGTAGCTTAGTGCTTATTACAATGTATAATAGTTTAATAAAAGTGACTTACAGTTTTCAGATGACTCCATATTTAAACTAAAAATAGGGTGACCAGATCCTGGTTTTGCCTGTTTTTAATATTTAATTATACAATAAATTTTTGAATAAAGTAATTTTATTAACATGTCAATATAATATCATCAATTTATAGATTAATAAATAAATACATTTTTTAAAAATAATCAAAGTTCAGTCAGTTTTAGAACCACATTTTCACTGATTCTGAAATGTGTCCCTGATTTGACTGCAAATGATAGTCCACCTAACTAAAAAGAAATAAAACTAAATGCTTTAAAAAATTTTATGGATTCTTTAATCAATATAAAAAATTTTTGTATAATTATGAAATATGAAATTTCAGCATTATTCTTAATTTAACCAAATTAAAACTGTTCTGCTCATCATTCTAATGTGAAATTTGTTTTGGATGAATTTGGAAATGAAGTAGCCTCATCCAAAAACATTTACACAAATAAACTTTAATTTCTAAAACATCAATAATTAAAAATCAGGGGTGCCCATTCATTGGGCACTTGGAACACATGCCCCTTTATGTCTGGGTTGCCCTTTTCCTAATTCCAAGAGGGCCAAAAATTGCATTATCAATAAACAACAGAAAATTCATAGCTTCTCACCTATTTTGCAAATATAAAAGAAATGAATAACATTTGTCCCTTGTCCCATGTAACTTCCTTGTATGTTGACCAAAACTTGGCTTTAAAAACAAGGAATGTTCCTTGTTTTCAAGGCCAATTTTTCAAGGCTTGACTTGTCTTAATAGACACAGGAACCCTAACTGCAACCAGTGCAACCTTATGGGAGCACTGATCCAATCTTAAATCAAAGTTTGAAACTTTTATCATATGTATGATGCCCTTTTTTATTGTTTGTGCTGCTTTTTTTATAGTATATAGGCACTGCTGATTAAAATAAACTTTAATTTCTAATTTTGTTTTAGTTTTTTATCTTCAGAATACAGGATATTGAATGTAGTTATATATTAAAACATAATAATTTTTTTATCTAAATAATTTCTTCAATTATTATATAAAACTTTCATTATTTGGAACATGTAAATCAATATATACAGTGAAACCTTGCTTATCAGACACCTTTCTAAAGAAACACCCCTCCATAATAGACAATTTTTGTGGTCCAGTATAAAAAAGTAAGTTGTAACTTTGTNTACTTTTCAAATATTGTTAAAATTCTATTTAATATTAATAATGGTAATAATATAATTATTATTACCTAAATCCTTTTTAATTGTATCTAAATTGTATAAAAGATAAATGTTGCTTATTACATCATATAAATATTTTGTCATCATATAGTAGACTCTTGCTAATCCAGCCTTCAATAATCTGGCCTCTCAGTTATCCAGCATATCCTCAAGTATGATTGTGTATGTGCTTCTGCTTCTATGAAAATGTTAGTCATGTCACACATCCTGTTTTCCTATTTTATTTCTTTCCACAGCATTGTATGTCAGCATGCTGTATTACTTGTCCACTTGCATCCGAAAAGAATTAGTACTGAAGGGCAACAGATCACCTCATTCATTGCCTTTAGACCTTTACCATTACTCTGGCACCCCCTTTGTGCAAGGAATGGCTATATTAGCAAGAGTTTACTGTATTAAATAACTAAACAACCATTGTTAATAAAATATAATTTGTTTACTTTCACTGCATATATTATATTAATATTAAATATTTTATTTTACATAAAAAATAATTTAAAATTAAAAACCAAAATATTAAATTGATTATAAAAATTTAAAATATGATATGTATAAAATTATTTTAAATATGTATAGAGAAGATACATATATAGTTAGAGCAATAAAAAGTTTTAGAAATTTACAAAACTATAAAATATAAAATGAAAAAAATCTCAATTCACAGATATTACAATATATATTACAATTGAATTTTTTAATAATAATAAATGTTGTATGTAGTAAATTAAATTATTCTATTTTATTATTTACATTATTAATGTAAATAAAGATAATTTTCTAAAATATTTGCTTTTTGATATGGAGGAATTTGCATTTATAATATATTAAAAAAGTGAAAATAGCAAGTTTTAAAAATATAATAACATTTTTCATATTAAAATTTAATCTAATAATATTTAGTAAATAGTTCACATAATTTGTTTGGTAATCAATGTTTGAAAACAACAAACCTGAAAATGTAATTATATAACATTTGGTATGCTTGAACCATATCAGATAAACATAAAATGTAATGTAATACATCTTTCTTTTTTTTTGAAACCGAAGGGTAATAAAGAATTCTTTTTTCATCAGTACTACTTTAATTATTGTTCAATGAACCTATAGCTATAAACTTTGACTTGAGTCTCAAGATAATTTAATGTTTATGTATGAAGAATAAATTTTTTTTGGGAGTAACCATTTATTGAATTAATTGTTTGAAAAGAAAAGTCATAAAATAATGGCTTTAACAAGATATGGAAGAAAGAAATGAATGATTACTAATAAAATAAAATGAGTTATTATATCACTTATGGTTTCTCATCTTTATAAGAATCTGAAATGTAATCCATTATGATTTATGATAAAAGACCTGCTTTTAAATGAACCAAAATGACAAAGAAATTATAAAAAAAAATTAGGGGAATAGAAGAAAGTAATTTTAAATCTGCACTATTTCAAAAATAATATTTTATAATTCAGTCATTTCATTTTTTTTTTATTTCAAAATATATGATTATTTATTTATTTTGTATAGTTGACAATCAAAGTAACTGATGTTAATGACAATGCTCCCAGATTTGAATTACCTGATTATCAGGCTCATAATGTGGATGAAGATGTACCAATTGGAACATCTATACTCCAAGGTAATTAACTCTTCTATTAAATTAAAGATTAATAATAATAATTTGTCAATATATGTATAATTCATTTAACAATCATTACCTGTTTCTATATTATAATATTTACAGTTGAATAAATTACTATTGGTGATATTGTATTTTGTTCTTTAGTATTTATATATTCTCATGCATAAAAGAGTACTCAAAGGAATTCAAGGTAAACATATGTAATATTTTTTCTCCATGTAATACAGAAGGAAAAATTATTCATATGGATAAGTTATGAGAATATTTTATAAGATAGGGTTGTAGATATTTAAGTGCACAAGTAATTCTATATTCAAGTATTGTGTATATCAATATTCTATGTAAAATTGATTTATTTTTATTCCAGTTTCTGCCAGTGATATGGATCAAGGAAAAAATGCTGAAATTGAATATTCTGTAGACAAAGATGATTTTACTATTGATAATAGGGGAATTATATATTCTAATAAAAGACTGGATGCAGATATCAATAATACATATGTATTAACAGTGAGAGCTACTGATCGAGGAGATCCACCATTAACTGGTACAGCAACTATTCGAATATATACTGAAAATAAAAATGACGAACCTCCTAAATTTAGTCAAGATGTTTATACTCCAAATGTGGATGAAAATGCTGGGCCAGATACACTAGTGACTACAGTGGTAGCAAGTGATAAAGATGGTGATAATATATATTTTGGATTTGTTGGTGGGGGGACAGTTTCTGGAATGTTTCAAATAGAGGAAAGAACAGGTATGTAAGAATGTTTTAATGAAATTATATATTTTTATAAAATTAAATTTAAAGATTTATCAAACAGTTAAAACAATTTTAAAAATTAAGAATTACTAAATTAAAACATTTTAATTTGAAGGTTATTTTAAAAATTGAATCAATTAGTTTTATTGAATTAATGTTATATAAAGGTAGCTCAGTTGTTATTTAAATTTAAAAATTTTTAAATTGCATGATTTATTTATTTTATTCATCATTCTTTAGTATTCTATCTTTCAATTGATATTATACAGGGTGAATTATGGTTCTTATGCAATAAATACCACACCTCATTATAAAGATAAATCTAATGGTTATTAGTAGTGCAGAAGAACCAGTTATAAGAAAATTATGAAAAATGAAGCATTCATTCACATAAGTAATGAGAAAATAGAAAGCAGAAGGATTTCAAATTGATATTTATTTTCTGGAAGTTATGAATAAATGACAAGTGTGATTTTAATGTCAGCAGCATCAATAAATGAAGTAAAATTATCAAGGTATTAAATACAAGTGGTAAAGATATGATTTCCAATGCCAATAATCTTTGTCTAGTCTACCAATGTCTAAACCAAATGGAAATTACATAGTTTTATTAATTTGTTGACATCTGCATGGGTTGGGAGAATGCTCCCAGTTACCATAATTTAAAATGTATGCATTGGCATGTGCTCATTTTTGGATGGGTTTATTTAACAACTGACTTCTTGGCCAGAAAACTATCTCTAGACTTTTATGCTTATAATGAGGCATGGCATTCTTTTGTTCCTTTTATTTTGCATGAGAGCAATAATTACCCTGTAAAACTTTTAGTATCATGTTTTGCATTTTTATAATTATCAAGCTGTAAATTTTCAAACATATCATTTAACTTATCTGTCTCAACAATATAAGCACATTGTAGCATGTTTACTATGCAATAGCCAAGTCAGTTTTGTAAATTTTCTTATAAAAGATTTCTTGAAAATTTGTATCAATGTTGAATTTTTGAAAAACTTTATGAAATAGAATTAAAATAAAATTATTTTTTTATACTGAGTGATTATAATTAAAGTTTTCTTGTTCAGAGGACTCTGTAGCACAACCACTAAGCTGATTGACACCAAAATCTGCATAGCAATATTCAAATGATGCAGAAAAAGATTTTGCAAAGAAAAATTTTAGTTCCAAAATTGTCTGTTATAGGGTAAATGGTGCTGCAAATGGCTCCATTGCCTGTTCAACAACAATCATGGTCACATCTTCAATGGTTTCGGTAGTAATAGGCTTTTGTCCCCTGTCAGGTTGAACTTCTAAAGATCCAGTTGTCTTAAAATATATTATCATTTTCCTGACAGCCTGTAAAGATAGTGATCTACAATGTTCTACTGTTGCAATGTACAAGTTCTACTGTTATTTGTGAATAACACCGTTACAACAATGTTATTCACAAACAGCAATAGCAGCATTACCCCGACTTTTGTGAATGCCATTCTTATCAGCTACAATGGCCATCACTTCACAATTAATGCATGCTCTAGCAAAGTGATGGCCATCATAATTGTAACTGATAAGAATGGCATTCACTAGTTGTCAGCATTTTTATACCCAGTCTTGATTACATTTCATGTGGCTATAAATATCACATTTCTTTGCTTGCAGTACCATTTACCCTGTAGTTAACAATTGGAACTAGAATTTTTCTTTGCAAAACTATTTTCTGCATCCTTTGCAAAGTGTGTATAAAAATTTTGGTGTCAGTTAGCTTATTGGTTGGAGCTATAGAGTTCTTCTGAATAGGACAACTTTAATTACAATTACCCTATATTATTAATTTATTTAGAAATGACAGTTTGAATATACAGTAATACCTCGACTTAAGCAAACCCAGAGTTACGCGATTTTCAAATCTCGTCGATTTGTCTTTTGTTTGAGCGCCACGCAACTCTTGATTACTCACTCCCCCACACTATTGTTCAGCTTACATGTTCGGACATGTCGCGCGGAATTGACACATAGCTACAGTTTATTTTATGTTATTTATTTCTGTGTTTGTTATATCTACGGAGACTTGAGAAACTCTATGTGGTGATTTCTTGTAACCGTGAACAAATTAAAAGATGAGATAAGATTAACGAGAACATTTATTAGCTTACATACATCCGACTTGAATTTTACACAAATTGCGAAATTATATCCCAACTTACACAAATTCGACTTACGTGGTTATTGCTCGGTCCCACTTATCACTTAAGTTTGGAGTATTACTGTATTTAAAAAGACTTATTTTAAGTATAAAAATATAAAAATTTAATTTAAATTACAGTAGTTTAATTTAATAATAAACATTAACATGAATCATTTCACTAATTACGCTTTAAATTTTTTAATTTCTAAATCAAAAACTGTTTCAGATTTTATTAGTTAGTCTTTGACTTGTACATAAATATTGTTGTTTTTGTTAACTATGAACTAATCATATCTTGCAAATACTTTCAGGTGTAATACGTCTTATCAATGGTCCTATCCATTTGGATAAAGATAAATATGAATTAAATGTTACAGCTAGAGATGATGGTAGTTGTTGTAAAAATGGTGCACATACCACCCACACAAGCACAGCACTTGTAGTTGTATTTATAACAGATGTTAATGATAATAAACCAGTTTTTGAAGAATGTGGAACATATGCACCACAAGTAGAAGAAGGTGCTCCCAGTGGTACTTCAGTAATTAAAGTGAGTAAAATTCTATTTCTTTGTACAATAAATGATATCATAAATTACAAATTAAAAAATATACAGTAATTTAGTTTTAAAACAAATAACTGCTACTTAATCAATTGATTTTTTTTATTTAAATGCTCATTGAACTCATGCTATAAATTATAAGTTAAAAAAAGTCACTTTTGAGATACAATTTAAAAATTTACATTTATTTCATTATTAATAAGTAATTTTATTGAAAATTATCTAAGATTTAATTAACTAAAATTAAATAAAAATTATCTAGAAAATTTTTAATCATTTAAAAATATTTTATATTCAGTGAAACAATTGAAAGATTTTTGGAAGTATTCAATTTATTGTAGAGCATCTCATTTGTTTATTATTACTAATTATAATTAGTTATTATTTAATATATTAAGTTATGGCTGGATGGCAGAGTGATTAAGGTGTCAGACTACAGCTCTGAGAAACCTGAGAACAAATCTGGACAGATCAAAAAACCCCAGGAATTTCTTGAGAGTTGACCCAATTAGGATATGTTGAGCTGGCTGTCCCATTGTGGGCCTGGCCAAACCATAATGGCTTGATTAAAAAGGATCTTTTGGTGTCCACAGGACAGAAAGAGTAAAAACAAACATATTGAATTTATAAAGCAGTAATAACAAATGCATCAGAAGAATCAATATGTATTAGTCACTTTTATAAGTTTCCTATGCAAGATTAAAATTTTTCTGGTATTGCATATTATTGCATACAATTCAATTAACCTGATACTCTTATAATCAATATAATTCTAAAACAAACTAAAGTAATGACAGTATATATATCTTCTCTAAGAGAACTCATTTTTCTTAAAAGTGAACAATAAAAACTACTTGTTTTCAACACCCATAATTTTGACTATCTATTGCCTTTAGTTGTATGTTTTATAGAAACTTCATTTATTGATATTTTCAGAGCTCTGGTTATTTATTACATTATATTTTATTCTTATTTTAGTTATTTATTAATTTTATTTTTTCCATGCTTATTAGTATGGAAAAAGTAAAAATATATATCATTCATATATATACATTCCCATCATGCTTTCTTTCTTGCCAATCTGGAAAGTTGTATGTTTATAATTGAGATCTTCAGTTAATGATTTCAGTCCATTTAATTTTGGGTTTTTTTTAATCTTTTCCTATCTTTACATACTTTGTTAATCTTAATAATTATATTGAGTTTGAAATGACCATATCATTGCAGTTATTTGTATAACAGATTTGATTGCTATAAATCAATTATATATAATAAAATATATAATGTAATCTGTGTATTTTTGCATTGCAGTTTTATTTAAGCATTTGATACTTCTTAAATTTTTAGTTGCACTCTTTGCTAATTTTCTGGATGAGTTACTATATTGCTTAATAATAACTAGTCAATGTTTTACACAAAAATATTTAAAATCTTCAATTAAACAGGTTTTTAAGTTTCTGAATAATGTGCATCTCATTGTATCAAAATATTTTTAATATTCTAAAATTTTTCTGTAGAATATTTAATTATATTTATTTTATAAATATTAACTATATGATCAAGTTAAATAAAATGCAGTAGCTTAGTGCTTATTACAATGTATAATAGTTTAATAAAAGTGACTTACAGTTTTCAGATGACTCCATATTTAAACTAAAAATAGGGTGACCAGATCCTGGTTTTGCCTGTTTTTAATATTTAATTATACAATAAATTTTTGAATAAAGTAATTTTATTAACATGTCAATATAATATCATCAATTTATAGATTAATAAATAAATACATTTTTTAAAAATAATCAAAGTTCAGTCAGTTTTAGAACCACATTTTCACTGATTCTGAAATGTGTCCCTGATTTGACTGCAAATGATAGTCCACCTAACTAAAAAGAAATAAAACTAAATGCTTTAAAAAATTTTATGGATTCTTTAATCAATATAAAAAATTTTTGTATAATTATGAAATATGAAATTTCAGCATTATTCTTAATTTAACCAAATTAAAACTGTTCTGCTCATCATTCTAATGTGAAATTTGTTTTGGATGAATTTGGAAATGAAGTAGCCTCATCCAAAAACATTTACACAAATAAACTTTAATTTCTAAAACATCAATAATTAAAAATCAGGGGTGCCCATTCATTGGGCACTTGGAACACATGCCCCTTTATGTCTGGGTTGCCCTTTTCCTAATTCCAAGAGGGCCAAAAATTGCATTATCAATAAACAACAGAAAATTCATAGCTTCTCACCTATTTTGCAAATATAAAAGAAATGAATAACATTTGTCCCTTGTCCCATGTAACTTCCTTGTATGTTGACCAAAACTTGGCTTTAAAAACAAGGAATGTTCCTTGTTTTCAAGGCCAATTTTTCAAGGCTTGACTTGTCTTAATAGACACAGGAACCCTAACTGCAACCAGTGCAACCTTATGGGAGCACTGATCCAATCTTAAATCAAAGTTTGAAACTTTTATCATATGTATGATGCCCTTTTTTATTGTTTGTGCTGCTTTTTTTATAGTATATAGGCACTGCTGATTAAAATAAACTTTAATTTCTAATTTTGTTTTAGTTTTTTATCTTCAGAATACAGGATATTGAATGTAGTTATATATTAAAACATAATAATTTTTTTATCTAAATAATTTCTTCAATTATTATATAAAACTTTCATTATTTGGAACATGTAAATCAATATATACAGTGAAACCTTGCTTATCAGACACCTTTCTAAAGAAACACCCCTCCATAATAGACAATTTTTGTGGTCCAGTATAAAAAAGTAAGTTGTAACTTTGTATTTACAACTTATCTCTCTTAAGTGGATACTTCATTACAGATCAGATACATGAAATGCACCATGGTTAATGTCTTGACTTGTCTTAATAGACACAGTAGATTCTCATTGAGTTGACTTCTTTGTTTGGTATTTCTGTGGATACAGTTCAATAGTTCCAAAAACTCAATACTGTATTCCCTGTTTAGTTCTTAAAATCAATTTAATTGCACAGTTTTATTATGACAGTAAAATTTCTATGTTGGCTAACTTGCTGTTGTAGGAGTTTGCTTAGTGTCTTTGTTCACATTAGTCTGCAAAGAAGCATGAGCACCTTATGACTAATTAGAAGAAACATTTTTCAATGCACTAATGTATATTACACTGATGAGGTCAAATACACTTCTGTGAACATTCACTCAGTTCCACAATTGTCATAACTCATCCTGTGCACTTTTCACCTTCTTTCTCATTTCATATTCTCATATTACTGATGATGAACTGAAATTTTTTAAAATAGCCAATCAACAATAGAGAATTGCATTTATTAGTTGAATATGTCATAAGCAAGATATATCTTCATGTAAACTACTGACCTTATTCTTTATTCTGGTTTAGTCACAAATGACCTGTTTGAGTTGGTCAGCATTTTAAATGATGCTTGAAATACTAACAAAACAATTCAATGTCTTCCAAGCCATTTCATGGATTTTAAGTGTTTGGAGACAGATTTTTGCTATCAACAATCAAGAGTTATTTCTTTAAAGCTGGATTTTTTTCTGGCAATGAGAATACTTAGTTTTGTAGCAGCCATAGTGAATGATAGAGACAACACAGTGTCATGAATTGGACATAGTGAATTCAGTGATGGTTGAATTCAGTGACAAAAATTATAATTTAAAATGTTTATGAAAAATTTTTTCATGAATAATTAGAATTTTCTTGTAATTTAAGATATTTAACCTAAGATATTTATGAAATTATTGCATTTCATTACTAATTAATATAGTAGGCTAATATTTGTTATTTTGGAAGATTTCTTAATTTTTTAAAATTAAAAATTTGTAGTCTTTCCAAATTTTTATTTTGCAATTTTATTTTTTTAATATCTGAAATTTAATTGGAAGACATCATGCATATAAAACAAAAAAATTTATTAATTATACTTTTTCTGTTTGAATATAGAGTAAATGCAGCTAATATGGCCCACTATGGTGTCTTTTTTCTATTACTTCTAGGTTACCTAGATGTAATAGATCAAACTACAATTGAACTAACATTATGATGCAAAGTGCAAAAGCTGATACCCAGTGATATCACAAGAGCATCTTTATTAATCTACATTAGTTTCAGCATAAAAAGCCATAATGTCAAAAAACTTAAAAGTGAAGGTATATATGTACAGTACAGGTACAGGTAATAATATGAACCACTGTGGTCCATATTACCTGTACGTAATTCATATTACAAGGACACTTCTAGAAACAGATAGAAAATTATTTTGTACAAAATTCATAGATTCTTCCTTCTGCACCAGCACATATTTCAAAGATGTGTCCAATACTGGTACTTTTGACACTGATCCATTCCTCACCAGCCAGGTAGAGGCAGAATAACTAGAGTTGCACTATTCTTTCCTTCTGGTTTTGAAAGAAATAATCGAAAAACAATAAAAGAAATACCACAAGCATGTCTAGTAATATGGACTACAGCAGTGCAAAACTTGTTGATAATACCCACCAAGATCCATATTGCCTGCACTAGCTTGAGACTCTAATACCAATTCTTAGCACCAATCAAACAGCAGATGTAATTTTGACACTGCATGGATAATCAAGAACAACAGCACAGCAAATAACCAAAAAATTATGATCTTTGGCAACTTATCCATTCAGCAGTTATATGGGCTGCAGTATCAACAACCAACAAGAGTTCAATGGCACGAAAAACATCAAGCCTCTCATCCATGTTCTCATTGAGTGGCATTCATTTACAGTATACAGGGGAAAGGGGGATGAAAGTATATGTCATGCTATTGCTCTCCAAAAGATGGCAGGTGAATCAGTACAGAGGAAAGAAAGTCTGGTCCATATTAGCTGAGTTTATTCTATTTATAAAACTTAAAATTTTGAGAAATTAAAAATATATACATACTGATGGTTTTAAACATTCCAAAGTAGATATCTATACTTAATTAAGGCAGAAAATTAATGTCAGAAAACATGGATACTTATTACTTTTCCCACTTTATATCTAGTCCACATCAAGCATAGAATTTGCAATGATTATATAA